GTGTGTGTGTGTGTGTGTGTGTGTGTGTGTGTGTGTGTGTGTGTGTGTGACTGAGAGTAAGAAAGCGCACTCACGTGGGCATGCGCAGTCTGTCAAGGAAAAAAATTCCAGAAAGAAGCCAGTTGGAAACTGTTTCAGGAAGTCTCCGTTTGGGAGACCTTGGGGCTGGAGGACTGGCAGCGGGAACAGGCAATAACAGAGGTGGTGCGCCTGGGAGCTAGGAGCCCTGAAATCTGGCGACTGCCCCGCTCACCCGGCCTCGGTCTCCTCTTGTGAAACACTCAGCAACCCTCGACCCTATCTTCTGTTCAGTTCAAATTTGCCTGTATTCTAATGAACAAATCACTCCTGGTAAACGTAGCCAAAAGCCACCTGGGTGTGCGGGGCGGTATGCAGGAAACTCCGAGATCCAATAGACAGCCCAATAGCCTGGGTCAGCTTGGAGTCCTCACTCACCACCCTCAAGCCGCTTGCTTGCTGCACGGTTGCTGTAGCTGTTGCAGGAGCGTGGGCCGCGATCCAGGGCAGGCGCCACCTCCTGGCAGCCCCTGGGCCGAGCCCTGAGGTCTGAGAAAGGGAGGGGCCAGCCTCAGAGGTGGGAGGCCCAGGGCAGGCCCGAGGGGGAACCCGGTGGAAAGTGGGGAGCTGACTGCGGTGGGAGAGACTTGGAGGAAGCAGGGAGGAAGAGACAGAGGCGTGACGGGTGAGATCTGCCTTAAAAGGCCAACCACCACGTACCGTACCCTGTGCTGGGGGAGGGCGCACCCCCCCACATGGGTGACAGGCACCACGCTCCTCCCACACACTGCCTTCACGAGGCCCAGCGACACGCCTGCCTGCCACGGGGTCCACAGCCCACGGGGTGGCCCGCAGGGGCTCTGCTTTCCCCCTTTCCCCCCCTGTATATGGAGCAAGGCACACGTGGCTGTCCAGGGCACTCTGGGCAGGTGCAGAGAGGAGCCCTAGGTCTGGTGACAGAAGGGAAAGGTCCAGGCTGAAAATTTGGAGCCATAAATGCTACGGGTGGTTTCCGCTCCTGAGCTAGGAGATGCAGCAGGGCCTGTTTTTTCCGTTTCGGGCTCTTTGTTTCTGCACCCCCACCCTTCCATACACACCAAGCTACATGAGCCAGCCTTAGTGACCTTCCTGCTCCCGGCCCGAGCCCTGTATTTTCTCAGCCTCAGAGAAAGGAATTCAGGCGCCCAGGTGAAAGGCGGATGAATTCTCCCCCCTTGGTAGGAAAAGCCATACCTAGCTGCGGCAGAGGGAGCTGGGAGAGGAGCCTGGCAGCCTTGCAGAAATGGCAGGAAGACGTAGCTTCCCTCTTTTGGGGCCTAGACAAGGCCAGAGAGTTCTTCCTAAAGATGGCGCTGTGGGGAGTGCTGCTCCTAGCCCAGATGTCCCCTCCCTGGAACTGGAATCAATGTCCAGTCCAGGAACTTTGAGAAAAGCCAGAAGAACAGAGAAATTTATGCAACAGGGATTCCCTTAGAGAAGAGAAGGGAAGCATGCTGACATGTATTGAGCACCTACTGTATGCCAAGCCCTGGTCCATGCTCCCCTTGCTCACAACAGTCTTTAGAACATACGTCACTGTCACTTTGTATTGGTGAAGAAATAGCAGAGGTCAGGGGCTCACACTGAAGCAGTTAGGATCCAAACTGAGCTGAGTGGCTCACGCCTTTAGTCCCAGCACTGGGGAGGCTGATCTCTGTGAGTCTGAGGCCAGCATGATCTACAGAGCAAGTTCCAAGACAGCCAGGGCTACATGGAGAAACCTTGTCTTGAAAGACAAAATAACAACAACAAAAATCTAGATCTTTGAATGAGAGAGAGAGTGAGGGAGGGAAGGAGGGAAGGACATGACTGCTCTAGGTATGGTGGAGGAGAACGTCTGTTGTAGATATGAGGGAGAGCATAGCCAAAGGCAGACATATCTGTGAGAGCCTAGGGTAGCCCTGATCCTGAACCATGTGGGAAGAGGGGAAGGAAGAGAGGGGAACCAACTACAGAGCCATGAGGCCAAAAAAAGGGGCAGAGAGAGAGCAGGTAACCAAGATGTCTGGGTTACATAGGGAAGAGCCTCCGGGGGAGGGGCAGCCTAGCCCCTGGGGTGGAAAGTTCAGGGTAGAGAGCTGGGTATGCCAGCCATACCCTGTAACAGGTAGGGACTGAGGGGTGCTGGGAGAACTGGGGGGCCAGGTCCACTTTGATGTTAAATAGGCACCTCAGCCACTTGTCCTGGGTTTGAAACTTAACATCCTTGACCTGAGGAAGGATCAGGAGTTGCGGACAGTCAACATGTTGGTAAGAGGGCCATAGCATTCAAACTGTGTATAGGTGAAAGATGGAGCTGTTTTACCGGCGTCTATTGCAGCTACCCCATTGTTTGTGTCCCAGCACCTTTTGCTACACCACACAGAGATCTGAACCCAGCCTGGCTTCTTCAGTCCCTCGTGCTCTGCCCCTCCACCCTCCCGCTCCCTGCTCTGACTGAGGACTGGAGGGGAGCAGCAGATGATGGCTACTTTGAAGCCCCTTTTGTGCTCTCGAGACCAGGGTCCATGGGCCAGAATCTGGGGCCCTGACTTGGGCTTGGAACCTGGGCCAGGAGCTCTCTCTGCTGCAGCCCTTGTTCCGAGTCCTGGGAGCCAGCCTGGTACGTGGTAGGCCAGCATGGATGACACACAGAGACCAGGAGGATGCCGACCCCCATGGAGGTCCCCAGGCTCCCCTGAGCCACCTGTGACTCCATCGACAGTCCCCTTGTTCTTCCTTTATCTGCAGGCAAAGAACAGAAGCAGACCAACATCGAATCCATGAAAATGGAGGCAAGTGTTTTCCTCACCCCCAGGGGGCTCTGTGGATCCTGATTCTAGAAGAAAGCCACCTCTCTGACTGGACTGTGGCGAGTGTGTGTGAGGGGGGCCCGAGGGTGGGTCCCTGCCCCATCTTTGGTGTCCCTTTTGTGAGAGAAGGAGAGGAAGTGGGGGTGGCGGTTGGAAGTCCCCTAGACAGGCAGCCAGCCAGCTCACCCCCCTCCAGACATCAAGCACTTCCCCTCACTGCCTTGCTCATGTGTCCCTACCAACTCTCAACCCCTCCGCAGCAACCTGACCGAAACCCCTCTGGCCAGGAGCCAGAATTTCCATATTCCATTTGGGATGAGTGACCCCTCTCAGTTTCCCCTCCCGGAGGGGCAAACCCTGCAGGGGTGTCTGTGCCCACCTTAATTCCTACCTGTCTCCCTGTCCTAGGGCTCCCGGGGCCGACTGCGGGGTGGCTTGGGCTGGGAGTCCAGCCTCCGTCAGCGGCCCATGCCAAGACTGACCTTCCAAGCAGGGGACCCCTACTACATCAGCAAACGGAAACGGGACGAGTGGCTGGCACGTTGGAAAAGGGAGGTGAGATGGTCTGTATGGTGCCCGGTGTGAAACTGGCAACCCAGAAGTCGGTTCTAGCCGCCCTCTGGGACTTTTGTCAGGCGATAGCTGAGAGTTTTCCCCTAGGGTTAACTCCTAAATTTCCAGGACACTGCTACTAGGTGGATATGGTTCAGCTGTCCGTTCGTCATGTTTTTGGGGTGCTAGTTGTGTGCATATAGGTAGGCACTGTGCATATGGCGCCCTTGCCCTTGTGGAATCGATGCCCTGATGGGTGAGAAGAACAAAACTGAGGGGAATTAAAGAGTCAGTAGGGCCTGCGGGTAGACAAGAAAGGTCTCTTGGAAGAGAGGGCATTTCCACTCTGTAAGTGTCTGGAGGAGCCATGGACGGTGTTCATGAAGAGAAATGAGTCGGGTGCAGGTAGCAACAGTGGAGACAGGACAGCGGTCGCTGGATTTTGGTGATGGGAGGAGGGGCATGGTGGTGGCAAGGTCAGAGAACTGCTCCAGCAGTGGCAAGGACACTGTCAGGTCGGGCCTGGACACACACGTGAAGACTGTGCTGTTTACTCCAATGGAGGACTAATTGGTGGGATCAAGAGTTCAGTGTGGACTGCCAAGGAGCTGGAGACTGGACTCTGGGCGCAGAAAGACAGGGTCTGTGAAGTCCACTCAGTAGAGGGTGGAGAGGCAGAGCCTCAGAATTGCCAGTACAGAAATGCCACCTTTTGGGGCAGTAAGAGAAGAGCTGCCACCATGGGTATGAGGAGGCACATAGGAGAGAAAGTGTGCCTGGGAGAGCTGTTTTCTCTAGATAGTGGCTGCACCGGATGGGGGCATGCCCCACATTGGTCCAGCCCGAAGGAGCTGGTACTTTTCCTGTGAAACTTCCGTGGGATCTAGGAGGCAGCTGGAAATAGTCCAGGGCTTCGGGAAGGAAAGGAGGTGGGAATCCAGATAAAGACCTAGGTGGCCATTGGTCCTCTTAAGATCAGCTGTGGGAAAGTAGGGTTGTGGGCACCACTCCCTCAGGGAGGGAGAGTAAACAAGGTCTTAACTCCAGGCTATTCTAGTGTGTGCCCCCTGGCCCTAGAGAAAGTTCTAAACAAGGGGAGGGGTCATGGTTCTAGTTCCTTTGGGATCTGCCTTTCTGGAAGGCAGAAATCATCCTGAAAGTCTGGAGAAAGGACATTCTGGCCAAGGTCTGATGGGTGCCTTTATCCCTGAGCACTGGGATTGTGGGGTGCAGCTTCAGAAAGTGGGCTGCTCTCTCTTCTCCTGGAAACCTGGGCTCAGTGGCTCCACTTCACCCTTAGCTATGAGGTGCCTCTGCTTTTGAGCCCTGAGGCAGAGGTGCTGAGGTGGCCTGGGCCTGGTGGCCCTCAAGAAGCATGAGGAGGCCACCGGAGCCACATTACAAAGGGGTTTTTTTTCCTACTCCTAGAAAATGATGGTCCGTTTTTATCAGTTTTAAGTTTCTGCTAAAAGATTTGAGTGGTCAAGTTGGCCCCAGCCAGTAAGGACACTTGTTACTAAGTCTCACACAGGAAAGAACCAACTCCTCCACCCTCCATAGGTGCTTCGTATACACACACACACACACACACACACACACACACACACCCACACACACCCAGCACACATATAAACAAATAAATGTAGGAAACATTTTTAAAACTTAAATTAAGAATAGGTAAGGTAGGTGTGATTGATTGATGGCTCACACCTGTAATCTCAGTTCTTGGGAGACGAGAGAAGGAAGATACAAGTTTGAAGCCAGGTGGTCTGTATACTGCCACATAGTTCAAGCCTTCTCTCCCCTCACTGCAAGCAAGACCCCAACCCCCTAAAAACAAAACGAAAAAGTTAGGAACATTGGCCAGGTGAGGTGATGCATGTTTTTATTCCCAGCACTCAAGAGGCAGAGGCCAGTAGATTTCTCTGAGTTCAAGGTCAATTTTATCTACCTCTGGAGTTCCAGGCCAGCCAGGGCTACATAGTGAGGCCCTGTCTCGAGGAGGGGAAAAAAAGGAACATTTGTTAAATACACGAAAGTGAAAAGGGTAATAAATTTATTATATAACATGCATAGATCTGTACACACATCCATAATGTGTAGGTATGTTCTGTATGTGTCTGTCACCTGCTTCAGCAATTATCAAAGCTGTTCTAGTGAGGCTGTAGATTTGAGCATTTCCCACCCCCAGCAACACCAGGGCCCTGGGTCTTTAAGTGAGAAAATCGGGAAAAGTTGATGCCGTTTGAACTGTTGGAGGTGCCTATGACCTACAGGATGGAGTCCTTCAAACAAATGGTGCTTTTCTATCGATAAGGTGAGCTCTGGGCCATCAGCTAGGTCTACAGATCTGCAGCGGTGACTGCTCGTCCCTGGATCTGACCACAAGGCCCCAGGGCAGGTGGAGAGTAGGGCCAACACTTGATCAGAGTTTAGGTTTCCTAATCTTAAGAATTTGGCTCTGAATGCTCCACCCTCTAGGGACAGAGAAGGACTGACTGCTGGTAGAGCACAGGTAGCTTTCTAGATCTCAGGGCAGAAACCGATGCTACCAGGCCTGCTTTCTTTTTCTTTGTCTACATATATGTCTGTGTATCACATGTGTGCCTGGTGCCCATAGAGGTCAGAAGATGGTGTGGGATTCCCTGGCAGTAGAGTTATAAATGGTTTTAAGCCACCATGTGGGTGCTGGGAACCGAACCTGGGCCTTCTGTAAGAACAAATGCCCATAACTGCTGAGCTAGCTTTCCAGCTGGCCACCCACCTCCCTACCCCCCCCTTACACACCCTCACCGTCTGCTTCCCATTTCTAAGGCTCAGCTTTGCTCTTTAACCTTTGACCTTTTCTGATGTTCTTCTCTGGGCCTTCCTGGTGGCCTTGAAGTTCACACTAACACATTTCTCAGCAGCACAGATCTGTCCCTTAACTAGGATATCCTTAGGTCCCCCCACTTCTTGACCCACTGAACACTTAACCTGTGTTTCTTGTTTTGGAGTAGTTGGTTTGGGGTTTATTTGTTTGCTGTTTTCATTTTTTGCTATGTAGCTAAGGCTCACCTGCACTCCTGATCTTCCTGCCTCTACCTCCAAAGTACTGGGATCAGAGGTTGGGCCTCTGTGCCCACCTTCATTTTTCCCTAATATGCTGGAAAAGCTCTCATAGATCCAACTTCTTGACCACACCCCCTGCTCTCCTCACACCTGCCCTGCCCCCAGCACACTCCAGGCCTCTTAACACATCTGCTCCCCAGGCACAACCTTCAGCCAGCATTCCTAGCTTTGGAAGGTAGCACCCATCAAGCTTCACAACTTCCTTCAGGCATCTGTCTCCAGCCTTCTCCCAGAAGCGCCGAGAACTCAGTGACCTATAGAAAGCACAGGGCTATGAACGGGCTTCAGACCAATTCATCAGCTACAGGCAGCACTGGGCTTTTAGAGGATGAACTGGGATTTCGGGGAGGAGAGAGGGAAGCATTTCAGAAAGAGATTGCTTCGTTTGTTAAGTCCCTAGGCCTTTTCAGGAATGGCAGCTCCAGTCTAGAGGGCTTGTGAGCTCTGCTAAAAGCTTTCACTAGCCTCCACCCGGCTAGGAGGACTTTTTCACCCCCAAAGCCACTTTCCAGGGGCAAGGGGTATAGATCAGAGGGAGAACACTTGCCTCACATGCAAGAGGCCTTGGCTTCAGTCTCAGTACCATACACAGATAGAAGCTCCGGCCTCCACCCTGGCCATTCACATCTCAGCTATTGGGTAGGATCTATACTTTTCACCTGCTCAAGATCTATACTTTTCACCTGCACATGCCTTTAATTCCAGCATTAAGGAGGTCAAGGTCAGTGGATCTCTGAGTTCAAGTCCAGCCCTGGGCTACATAGCAAGTGAGACCTATCTTGAAAAGTAAATAAGTAAGATAATTTAAATTGCACAAAAATAGGTGATAAAATAGGTAAAAATAGGTGATAAGGAATTAACTGGCCATTTCCTTCATCTCTGAGGGGGAATTCTTGCTGGAGAGGAGAAGCTGTTGTCTCCTGTCTGCCGGCCAGGCCATAATAAATGATCAAGCTGTCTTCCAGAACCCTCAGTGGCTCCCTCATGCCTCAGTGGCTCCCCAGCCCCCATCACATACACAGACTCTGGCTGTTTCCCAATGTTTCAACCCTGTGCCCTCCAGAATCAGCCCAGTGTTAGGACACCACAGTGGATGGTAGGACTGACTCATTAATCTTTTCACCCTGACCAGATTCTAAGTCACTTCGGGGAAGGAGTCCTGTATTCCAGGCAGGCTCTAGGATGTTTGTTATCTTCCCTGACTCCAGCTTGAAGGTTGAGCCCTTCTTGCATCCTTATACTTCACAGATGATATCACATAGTGATAGTTAACAATCTGTGGCCTGGCCAGGGAGTCCCAGCCTCCCCTCCCCCTTGGCTTTTAGACACACCCTGCCCCCACCCCAGTCTGTCCAGCTGGGAATTAACCCATCACATTCCTGAAGGGGAGGGAGGGCTTTGTTCCTAGACCTTAGGAGGTGCTGTGCAAGTGATGGCTTTGGTGATCCCTGGCCCCCTCTGGAGTTTGAGACCAAAGCACCAAGCTAAAGCCCTCCCCTGTGGACAGACTTGCCCCGAGTGGGCTGCACAAAGGAAGAATCCTGTGGATTCGCTGGCCTGGACAGGAGCTTGGTTGTTGTTTACTCTGTTCAAACAGGGTCTCTCTGTAGGGGCCAGGCTGGACTTGAACTCACAGTGATCCTCCTCCTTCTGCCTCCCAAGCGCTCAGGCCAAAGGTGTGCGCTACCTCACCAGGCAAATTATTAGTATGTATGCGCATGGGTATGCTATGGAATGCATGCAGAGGTCCGGGAACAGCTTTGTGGAGTCTGTTTTCTCCTCTACCCTTCCACAAGTCCTTGAAAGGCTTGACCTCATTGGGTCTAGCTGGCAGATGTTCCAGCTGAGCCATTTAGCTGGCCCCTGTTTTTAAAGTAACTTTAAATTATGTA